ATTTTTCTTAATAATTGCAGTCAGTCACAGGGTTATGGATTTCAGGGCTAAATAACACACAAATCAGAAATATATATGTACATGAACCAGAACATCTTATCCATCCATAGATACTTACATACTTGCATCTTGCAATCATCAGTGTCTTGCCTGAAGCATGATTATATATATATGAATATTCATATATATATATATTCATCTATCTATCTATCTATCTATCTCAAAGCTCCCTAAGTAAATTACTATATTTTCATTGGCTGGAAGAAATCCTTGCTTTTGTACCTATAATCTTCCTTGGCTTGCATGTTGCCCTAGGCCTACAAAGCATGCAAGGGTTCCATGGCAGACGATGTACAATTTGATGGTGGGTGATAGAAGAATGCAAAATTGAAAGTCTTCCTTTGTGAACTTGTTTCAATTCTAAAAGTTCCTCCTAAATGCAAATGGAAGTGACAAGGACAGATGTGACCAAAACCGGATGCAGTATTCCAGATGTGGCCTTATTAAGGCTTTATAAAGTGGTACTAATACTTCTCATGATTTTGATTCTATGCCTCTGTTTATATAACCAAGGATTGTTATTAGCTTTTTTTACTGCTGCCGCACATGGCTGGCTCATGTTTAAGTGATCGTCCACTAGGACTCCAAGGTCCCTCTCACAGTTACTATTTTTGAGCCAGGTTTCGCATAATCTGTACTTTCCTGCCCAAGTGTAAAACCTTCCTTTTCTCCACATTAAATTTCATTTTGTTGGATAGGGCTAGAGGTGAAATCTAATTTTTTTTGCTACTGGTTCTGTGGGCGTGGCTTAATTAGTGGGTGGGGCTTGGTGGTAGGTGACTGGCTGGGCGTGGCCAAGTCAATGTCACTTCTTTGCCCTTTTTTAACCTACAAAACACAACACAACACAACTGGCTCACCCACAATGTAAAAGCAGCTGTGCTAGACTCAAAATGGCCCCGCAACAAGCAGGAACCTCACACAGCCACAAAAAGCCCCCAAAAAAACAACTTTCACACTTTACACACACACAACACAACACAACTGGCTCACCCACAATGTAAAAGCAGCTGTGTTAGACCCAAAATGGCCCCTGCAACAAGCAGGAACCTCACTACAGCCACAAAAAGCCCAAAAAACCAACTTTCACACTTCACACACACAAAATTCCACATACATCTTTGTGAGATTTTGTGTGTTTGTGTACTTAGAATGAAACACTACAGAAACACACTAAATCTCAGAAAGCTGCACAAATATTATTTTATTTTAATTTATTTTTATTTTTATATAAAAGCAGCTAAATTTAAAACTTCCTAAACTTTAAATGGCTAGGTCTAAAAAAAAGAACAACTAAAAAAACCCCAATTAACTATTTTTTTTAAAGCTCCCAAAGGGGAAAAAAACTTACTCAATAGAACAGGGGTCTCCAACCTTGGCCACTATAAGACTTGTGGACTTCAACTCCCAGAATTCCTCAGCCAGCTTTGCTGGGAGTTGAAGTCCACAACTGCAGGAAGGCAGGCAGGCAGAAAGAGCTGCTCACCGATGAGCTTGATTGCAGATAGGGAGATTCAGTTGCTTGCTGATGCATGGATTGCGATCGTCATGCGATCCGCAGCTAAGGTAAGCAAGCTGGAGGCTGGGAGAAGGGGAGGGGGAGAAAAAAAGAAACTTTTTTTCTTTTACATGGCTCTGGCGATCCAAGCTGAGTTGCCTGATTAGCAGGCAACTCAGCTGGGATGTCAGAGCTTGGCTGGTCAGAGCCATTTAAAAGGAAAAAAAGGCTCTGATGATCGCGGGGCTCAGCTGGGCATGGGGGGCGGGAGCAGGGATTTTTGCTACCGGTTCTCAGAACTGCCCGCCGCCATCGCTACCTACTCGCCCGAGCCGGTCCGAACCGGGAGCATTTCACCCCTGGATAGGGCCCATTGTTCAAGTCTGTCTTTGGATCCTGAGCTTGTCTTCTGTTAAGAGGGAGTAAAAATATCAATGGAAAATTAAAGGATTTTTATATCCTAGCAGATTTTAAGATTAATAATGAAATACGTTAATACTGATGGTAATTTTACTAATAGATAGTATTAGTAAATATTAATATAATAAAGTATAATAGTATAATATAGTATAATAAATATGAATTGTGTTATATTTATTAAATTCAGAAATCGCCAAACTCCCTTGTTTCCAGAATGTTTCTGGGCAGTGTAAAAATAAAATATTAAAACAGAAGCAAAAAAATTCAATATTAAAATTTAATTACCGAGTTTCCCTGAAAAGAAGACAGGGTCTTATTTTCTTTTGACCCCCCAAATAAGGGCTTGGCCTTATTATCAGGGGGGTCTTATTTTGGGGGTGCAGGAGGCAGTAAACGTGGGACTGGATGTCCTGTTGCTGCCGTCGCCTCCCCTCCCCATTCTTCGCGTTGGCCGCTGCCCTGATGTTTTTCGCCGCTGCTGCTTCCTCGTGGAGCAGGACTCTGCAAGGCTTGTGCCGTTGCATGCATGAAATGCAGCACTGCCATGAGCTTCATCATACCGGCACAGCTGGCATCCTGCCGCTCGCGGCTGTGCCAGTATGTCGAACCTCGCAGCTGTGAGGCAGTTCCTACATGCAACAGCACAAGCCTTGCAGAGTCCTGCTCTACGAGGCAGCGGCAGCGGTGCGACGAGTCTCACAGACTCGTTTCTGGCAGGTGGGGCGGGGGACAAGTGAGATGCGTGGAATGAGACGTGGCTCCCCTTGCTGTTCTCTTCTTCCCCCCACCTTCCAGGCATGACAGGGCTCCTGCCCCTCACTTAGCCACCTGCCCCCTTTAGGGTGCAATTTGGGGGTGGCAGGTAGGGCGGGCGAGAAGCGTCTCACAAAAGAGTTTGGCTGAACTCGCAAGAAAGTTTTTTCTACAACGTGTCTCCCTGGACAGAAAGGCGAGGAACATGATGGTGCTGGAAAGATAAGACGCGCGTCTTGCAGCCCAACATGTCCCGTCCCACCCCAATGGCAACAGCAGCCTGGCTGCTTCCCTTCCCCACTGTCTCTTTATTGAGAGGGGTGGCAGGTGGGGCGGGCAAGAAGCGGGACGCGCGTCTTACCTTTCCAGCACCGTCGCAAAATGTATTTTGCGGGGGTGGCTTATATTATCACATGTCCTGAAAAGCACGATTGGCCTTGTTTTCAGGACATGTCTTATTTTTGAGGAAACACGGTAAAAGGTTGGTGGGTTTTCAGGCCCATGGCCTCTGTGAGTGCCAAGCCAGAGGGCAGATCCAGGTCTTTAGGCATTTCTGGGGGCCCATCTCACTTCTTAGAAAAGAATGTTCCAAATGGCAGGGGAAACAGCAAAGAAAGCAATGGCATAATTGTGTTAGGACATGAAATGAAATGAAGTAGGACATGTTAAGATGGAAGAAATTAACATTGACACTGTTGAGGAGAAGTTCTGTGATTAAAAATTAATGTTTTACCTAGAATGATGTTTTTGTTTCAGACAGTATCTGTTTCGACAATTGATGTATTTTCAAGCAATGGCAAAAAGATATATCTAAATTTGTATGGCAAGAGGAAAAATTAGTTAAATATAAAGTATTATAAGAGCCAGCTTGGTCTAGTGCAGGGGTCAGCAACCTGAGGCTCTTGAGCCGCATGTGGCTCTTTCACCCCTCTGCTGCGGCTCCGTCACTCAAACTATACATCACAACCACCAATGTGTGACACCCGCTGGCACGTGATTTATTGAGCTTTTCAACCCCCAGTAGGCCAACCATAGATAAATCTAAGAAAAGAAAAGTTTCAGAAAAAAAGAGAACATTTAATTCAACTACGTATGCTAGTTTTGTGGCCACTCCAGAAATAGTCAGGCACGGGAAGGGTTTTGTGGCTCCCGGTGGTTTTTTTTTTTTCTGTGGGGAAAGGAGTCCAAATGGCTCTTTGAGTTTTTAAGGTTGCAGACCCCTGGTCTAGTAGTTAAGGCACCAAGCTAGAAAGCATGAGAAAGCAGGACCATGAGCATAAGTCCCACCTTAGCCATGAGAGCCAACTGTGTGATTTTGGGCCAATCACTCTCTGCCCAACCCAAGAGGAAAGTAGGAGGAGGAAAGTGTGTTTGGTATGTTTGCCACCTTGACTTACTTGTAAAAATAATAAAAGTGGGATACAAATAAATAACTAAAATAAAGAAAAGATAATTGGTCTACCGAATTTGAAATTTTATATTGCTTTTGTTGTTTGGTTTGGAAGAAGGAATGAGTGTTGCAGAGAAACAAAAGATTTTAGAGTTAGAAGATTATGAACTGAATTTTGGATAGCATGGATGTTTATGGTACAATGAAGTTAAAATTGGATTTTAAAAACCACTTTATTAGATATGCCGCATTGGGAATATGGAATATAAACATTCAAATGAAACCAGAACCACCTTTCAGGACTGATGGATATGCAGTTAAAATAGAATCATGGAAGAGTACTTCAATGTAGGATTACTGTGGCAAGATCATTTTATGCATAAAGATGGAAAGATCCAGGACTACTCGACATGGGAGGAAATGGGTTGGTGAAACTGAGAGAACTCGATGACAAAATTGACAAAACTTGACTGGAGAAAGGTCATTACTGATATTCATCAATGACTAGAAACCCTTTATGGATTTTTTGTGTAATAAAAAAAAGAAAATGATTTTACGACTTATTAGAAAAATTACAGAAAAAAGGGGAATAATGATATAATCTTAGAGAGGGAGGTTTGATTAGAATGACATGTATAACTACCGGTATGAGAGGAAGATCAGAATCCAATTCTTTATTCTTTTTCATGCTTTCTGTTTTTTATTTTCTTTTATCTATCTGTTTTTCTCTTTCACGTTTATCTTTTTCTTTGAATGGACTTGTTAAATATGTAAAAACTTGTACTAAAAACTACAGTATTTAAAAACCTCTAAGGTTTTTTTTAGTTAATGTATTCTGAACAGTTATAATTGCACAGAAATTGAATGAAACGTTCTTACTTGCTTCTTGATTACTGTATGGCCATCCAGGGGCAGTTAGAAAGGGTGGCACTGGTGAAGTTGTCCTGCTGTCCTCTCCAAGTTGTTGTGTGATATGGCGCACAGTATCCTTATTTTTTCTATTCTTTCTACGCCCTGTAGGCTGCCACCCATCTGTAGTTCCTTGCTCTGAGAAAGCATTTTGCATTGCACTGTCTTTGGCAGACTGCAATTCATTCCCTCCATAATGAGTGGGAGAGATCTGTTCTTCTTTGACACGCAAAGTCCCATAGGCCAAATCCGTAGACCAAAGAGACTGGGATGAAACGTCATCGTGACTATCTGATTTTGGCTCTTGATCCTCTTTTCCACAGGTGCTTCCTCCTTCGTGACAGCTAGCAATAGCTGAATCTCCAGAAGAGTTTGCTGGACTTGTCCTTCGAGCCAGCCAGGGAGATATGCTCCTACCAGCTACGACAGCAGAAATCAGGGCATCCGTACTGCTGCTAGAGGAAGCCCCAAACTCATAATCAATAAGGTCGTCCGATGCATCAGACTTTATGCTTATGTCAAGAGCAGCCTTTATGAAATTGTGGCAAGCTTGCACAATCTCAGTCATTTGAAGATAGCTGGCAGCTGACATCACCTCAATAACATTCCTGCTGGTCAATGCAAGGTGTGCCGAGTACATGAAGTCAATGATTGCTTTAAAGCCCTGTGCCGTTACAATATCCAAATGAGTGACTGTGGCTTGGTCAGAGGTCTTCTGCACCTGGCAATACAATGTCTTGAAATAACGACTACTCCCAAGTAAAATATTTTTATGAGCCTTGAAAATCTTTCCTTCCACTATAATACAAACATCGCAGAGGATACCATGCTGCCTTTGTTCATTGAGTTCCTGAAGCAGATGATGATAATGGGAGGCAATCTCCATGTCTTCCTTCTGATTATTCATTTAGAAGTATTTGCACTCCCACGTCTGCACACTCTGTGAAGAAGAAAGAGAGACATTAACACCGTTGGCACCAATGGTCATTTTTCTCTCAATGCAGACACAATGCCAAACTTCATGGGGGTCATTGGTGGGAGGGAAAGGCTAAAAACCAGTATATCTGCTAAAATTCCTGTAATGATCAGCATTCTACATTAGCAAAACCATTTCAAAGGTGCATTTACCATGGGTTTGATTCAACTCTAAGAGGTAATTTCATCAACTATTATTGTTGTTTAAAAGCTGAGTTATAGGGTACTGAAATAATTACCATAGCATTTTGTAACTATCTTTCAAATATAATTAAGAGAAGAATGAGTAGTTTTAAATTCTAAAAAGTTATAGTGTGCAAAGATCATATCAAGCTATTGCTGAAATTGTGTACAAATAGTGTTTCTGTTTTTCCAGAGAGACAGCAGTAGCTGTCAAGAAAGCAAATGTCCTTAGACTACATCAGCAAACTATGTACTGAGAGAGCTATACATAAATTCACTTCAACCTCAGTTTATTTACATCTTCAAAATGAGTATCACAGGTGAACGATCCTTATGGTAACCAGCATAAAGTTAACGCTATCTGTTTTTTCCCTTTTATTGTTACAAATCTTAATACATTTATTACCTCAATACAACAGTATTTGTGCAATATTGATTATATAAAGTTAACATAGAGAAAAAAGTCTCCAATCAGTCTTATGTATATTAAAACAATACATATACAGGTAATCCTCGAAATACAACCACAATTGAGCCCAAAATTCCTGTTGCTAAGTGAGACAATTGTTAAGTGAGTTTTGCCCTGTTCTACGATCTTTCTTGCCACATTTGTTAAGTTAGTAACAGTTGTTAAGGGAATCTGACTTCTCCATTGAGTTTGCTTATCAAGAAGGTCCCAAAAGGTGATCATATGATCCCCAGATCAGTGCAGCCATCATAAACATGAATCAGTTGCCAAGCATCTGAATTTTGATCATGTGCCTTTGAGGAGATGCTACAACAGCATCTCCTAAATGTGAAAAATGGTCATAAGTCACTTTTTCAGTGCCGTTGTAACCTTGAACAATCACTAAACGAACTGTTGTAAGTCAAGGACTACCTGTAACAAGAAGCAAGAGTCAAGAAACATTTAAATATTCTGTTCCAACAAAAAATAAAAGGCATAGTTTGGTATTCCATCCATATGCCAAATGACCTCCAGAAAAGCTAGATCTTCAAGGGAAGGAAAAATCTCTAGTTCCAATGGATAAGAAAGTTTTCCAAAGTAATAAGAAAGTCAAGTCCAGGCCCTTGAAGTGGGCTTAATCTCAGCAAAGGGACTCTTAACATTCTTTCTTTCCCTGGTCTTACCAAATGCTGTAGACAGATTCCACTCACAACAGGCTATCTGAGAGATACCAAGCCCCTAAGCCATATATGGCTTTAAGGCCACAACCAACACCTTCAATTGCATATGAAAATTAACCAGCAATCAGTGCAAGTCCTCCAGAAAAGGTATTAGATAAACCTTAGTGTGTCCATAACTAACTAGGCTGCCCTATGCCGAATCAGCTGTACAGATAGTCCTCGACTTACAACAATTCATTGACTGTTCAAAGTTACAACGGCATTGAAAACAGTGACATATGATATGACCATTTTCATGCCTAAGACCGTTGCAACATCTCTGTAGTCATGTGACCAAAAGTCAGATGCTTGGCAACTGACTTATATTTATGATGGTTGCAGTTTCCCGGAGTCATGTGATCTCCTTTTGTGACCTTCTGACAAGAAAAGTCAATGGAGAAGCCAGATTCACTTAACAACCTTGTTACTAACCACTGTGGTAAGAAAGGTCGTAAAATGGGGCAAAACTCACTTAACAAATGTTTCACTTAGCAACAGAAATTTTGGACTCAATTGTGGTTGTAACTTGGGAACTACCCGTAGTTTCTGAATGATCTTTTAAAAGGCAGCCTCATGTACAACAGGGTACAATAATCCAAATACCTTGGAGGAGAGAAGGATAGCTATGCAGGAATACTAGACAGACACGCACATAGTACTGTTACTCATTTCAAATTTAGAACAAATATGTAAGTATAACCAGGCTAGTCTCCACACTAAACACAATAAAGTGTTTAACTAGCTAAAACAGCTAACCTAATCTCTTCAAGCTCTGAGGCTCAACTGAACTGGCTTTTTCCATTCTGACTTGTAAATCCAGATACTCATCTTGACATAGTAATATGGTCTTCAAGTCAACACTGTCAGTCAAACATAAGGGAGATGGAAAAGTGACAGGCTGTTTTGAGTAACACCTTGGGAATAGACCATTGGATTCAGTGGTGAGTTGCTACTGGTTCGCCCTGGTTTGGGCGAACTGGTAGTAGCGGCAGCAGAAGGCTCCGCCTACCTGCCTGGATGTCATTAAATATGCTCTGCGCATATGAGCGAACTAGTAGCAAAGGTAAGTGAAATCCACCACTGATTGGATTGCATCTGCAATCAGCCTTGACCCATGCCACTTGTGACTGGCTGAAGACCTCAACCTAAGAACTTTCAAGTGTTGAAACAATATCTGTAACAGACTGACATAGAGAATTCTATACTTTGAACTCATCCCTTCTTATGACTACCCAGATAAACTGGTCCTTTTACCTATGTTAGAAATACTTTGAGACAGCTTTTTTAAAAAAATCTAAGATTATATGACTTTGAACGTTTGTGTGAGAGTTAAGAGAAGTTCTTGCTTTTTGGAATTCCATGAAATGCAACTCTGATTAGCATTCAGAATCACCTCACACAATTCTACTAGAGCAAACATGCAGTGATTTCGTATATATGAGGGATTGCTTTGACAACGTATGTGCAGATCTCTCAGGAAGGCATTATAAGTAAAACTAGAGAGATTCTGGTTGATTATACTTGCCTTTGCTTAAATATTTTGTACATGTTCGTACAAAGAGAACCATGAATGCATCTTCTCCTCCCCAAAACAACTTTAATAATTGAGATAAAGTACTTCGTTACTCTTAATTTTGTGATAGCTTCCTTTTAAACACATGGCTCAATTTAGATGAACGTTTTTTGTTAATGTACTGTAGTATTAAAGGCAACTCTGCTGGATCAGGCTAAAAAGCTGCCTACTGTAGCATCCTGCGCCTATAGTTCCTGTGGGAATATGTACTGTAAACAGGCCATGAAAGCAACAGTCTTTCTCTGCTATTGTTCCCCAATGACTGGCAGTCAGAGGCATGCTACCTCAGATCTGAAAGAAGCATACAAGCATCATTAATTGTATTATCCTCCATTAATTTGTTTAATCCCTTTTTAAAGCTGTCCAGCTTGGTAGCCATTGCTACATCTCAGGGAAAGTAATTCCATATGTTAACTATATTCTGTGCAAAGGATGCTCTTTTGTCTATCTTGAATCTTCTAACATTCATTTTTTTCCACATGACTCAAGTTTTTACTTCAAGATTTACCATCAGATCTTGTTTATCCTTCCAAAAGTGTTTAGGTCCAAGCCTGTCTTTCTTGCATTTAATATATTCATCTTGTCTGAAAGTATCTGTCAAGTTTCCTTCATCTGGGCCAGAATTTAGAGAGTTGATTCATTAACACACAAATATATAAATCTGTCAGCTATTTCCATTTGGAATAGAGAAAATTATACAAAGCAGAGATAAGTAGTAAGAAATATGCCAAAGAAATTAAAGGCATGAGATAATAAAAGAAAATATAACTAAGAGGGTACATTTATATTGTTACCTTTCCCAATTCCTCTCCATATCTTTTTAAATCTGTAAATTATTCTTGTTTCCACTACATCTATATATCACTTCATTGACTGGCCTGGAGAAAAGGCAAGATTTAACTCTACTAAATGAAAATTTCACTATCAGTGAGTTAATGAAAAATTAATGGGAGTGGAATATGCAGTACAGTACTGTATTCCGATCCAAACTGAGAAATATGCATATCCTCTTTAAACAGCAGCCAAAGGAACTAAAAGGAAGAGAGGAGATGCATACATCAGATCCAAACACGCTCAAGCTCATATAGTACGATTGTGTATTGCCAAAGCTACCAGTAAGGAGATTTGACAAGATTAGTAGTGGACTGAATGAATGTGTTATAGAAAGATCACCCAATACTCATCCTATAAGGCAGCCCAAATATATTACTCTTCAAAAACATGCTATTAACAGTCAGGGCTGAGATGTTGCCACTGAAAATCCAAACATCATTTGATGTCTTTTGATCTGAAGATCAGCTATGTGAAGCACAATAAAAATGACCTCAAGCCTCCACCAGTTTTAAATCAACACAAACACGATTTTACTGTTGAGCAAGTACTACAACTACTACAGCAATACTAATCTGTGGCTGTAAGGAAAACCTATCATGCTTTTGATGTAATATAACAGCTAAAATATTTCTTCTGGACAGTTATTTGTATATATGGAAGTGAGCACAGCTGTGAATCAATGCTGGTCTAATACTACCGGTATGAATGCTATGTTTGCTACTGAAATTAGAATCTCTGCTAAAATAACGTAGGAACAATTAGACATTAATGAAAATAGTTTCTCTCAAAATCCAATAAAAATATTCCTAGATTCAATATATTATACAGGATTATAGTGCATCTTAGTTAAAATGTTAAATACACGTACATTTAAATATATTATTTCTTAAAATTATATCTCACAAGTTAAACATTACTAAAAAAAATGTGAGATTCTTCTCAAGACCCCTTACTCTATTCATGAGAATTATGCCAGAATTTATTAGGCCAGCAGAGTCTTGAGGGGATGATTATAAATTATATTAAACTACAATACTTATTTTTCTTAAAACATGTAAACCATCTGAATGATTCCTTTGTTTTTCTACCAAGGATGCAAGAAAGAGATAAAAGAAAGCAAAAAATCTTATTTATGTTCAAAAAATCTTATTTATGTTGTAAGCATATGGAGGGAGGGGAGAGAAAACAAATAAACAATAGCGAAGAAAATAACTGTAACCTCTGAGTGTATATTATTTAAGTGGAATCTGACTGGAATTAACACTTCACAATAAACAAGACATTTTTAAATTGCTGATGCTATGGTTGAAGAAACCATAGCATCCTGGATAACCCATAATGCTAAATCAGTAAATAAATTTACAAAATAACGAAGGGTTAGTATAATGTATTACTTTTACCAATGCTGCAGCATAGAATAAATGAGATTCTTCCTAGATCCTTCCATCTATCCATGACTTCCCAGGTTAGAATCCTATTTCAATTTCTTCAAATTCATTTATATTTCTGAAAATACTCAGAACCCAGAAGGTGAAAATACATCCCTCATGTACAATACATAGGTGCTGTCAGTTTGGTTCTACAGGTATTCCTCGACTTACGACCATACATTTAGTGACTGTTTGAAGTTACAACAGCACTGAAAAAAGTGTTTTTTACACTTACGACCCGTTGCAGCATCTCCATGGTCATGTACTGTAATCAAAACTTGGACACTTGGAACCTGGCTCATATTTATGACAGTTGCAGTGTCTTGGGGTCATGTGATCCCCTTTGGCAACCTTCTGGCAAGCAAAGTCAATGGGGGAAAACTTAACAACCAGGTAACTAACTTAACAAGTGCAGTGATTCACTTAGCAACTGTGGCAAAGAAGATCATAAAATGGGGTAAAATTCACTTACCTGTTTTGCTTAGCAATAGAAATTTTGGGTTCAGTTGGGATCATAAATTAAGGACTACCTGTTCAAGAATATATACCTGAAGAATTATTTTATAATATATGTGCATATATGACTAGTTAGTACCGTGATGGCAAACCTATGGCACGGGTGCCAAAGGTGGCACACAGCACCCTCTCTGTTGGCACGCGAGCTGTTGCCCCAGTTCAGCTCTGCTGCACATGTGCGCACGCCTCCCGCTGGCCAGCTGGTCTTTGGGTCTCTGCCGCGCAGGGGCGGAGCACATGCACGGGGGCTGCGTGCAGCAGAGCTGAACTGGAGTGACAGCTCGTGTGCCATCAGAGAGGGCGCTACATACCACCTCTGGCATGCATGCCATAGGTTTGCCATCACGTCCTAGAAGTTCATGCTGGCTGGAGAATTCTGGAAATGGAAATTCACACATCTGGAGGATAGCCATGTTAAGAAGGCATAAAGGTATCCAGTTCTTTAACCTTCCATAACATTATAGTTAGTCCTCAACTTACAACCACAATTGAGCCCAACATTTATGTTGTTAAGTAAGACATTGGTTAAGTAAATTTTGCCCCATTTTACGATCTTTCTTGCCACAAGTTGTTAAGTGAATCATTGCAGGTGATAAGTTAGTAACACGGTTGTTAAGTGAATCTGGCTTTCCCATAGACATTGCTTGTCAGAAGATTACATGACCCTGGGATACTGCAACCATCATAACTATGAGTCAGTTGCCAAGTGTCTGAATATTCACATGGCCATGGGGATGTTGCAACAGTCATGTGAAAAATGGTCATAAGTTACTTTTTTCAGTGCTGTTGTAACTTCAAACAGTCATTAAATAAACTGTTGTAAGTCAAGGACTACCTGTATATCTTCCTTTGTATACTTCTGACTATTTTGACTGCTTTCCTCTAAATTCATTTTTCTACCCTCTTGTTAAAATGCAATACCCCAGATCTTGATCTAATATTTCAGATAAGCCTGAATAAAATAGAATGATTACTTCCAATGGATTGTACTGTGATTGTTTTATTGTGCCATATATCACACCAGGGTTTTTCTTTTTTGTAGTGGCATATTGTCTATTCATGTTTAGTTTTCAATTGTGATAAACAACAATCTCATTTTTTTCAAGTATATGGCTTTCAAGATACATATCTATGTCCTAGATCCCATTTTAACAATTCTAATGCTAAATTTCTCAATATTTCTAATTTATTTTATGTTATGTTTTATGTTATTTTATGTTCCCAGTTTTCATTCTAACAAAATTATTTACATTTTATTTTCTTTAACTACGATAACACTTGTCCATTCTGGCTTTGCCATCTGCAAAACTGAATACAATTCACTTGATCACTATCACTAACAAATGTGATAAAAATCATAAAACTCTGAACTGAGGATTACACTTCTATAAACACTTGCTGGCTGGATTCATGCAATGTCCTGGTTTTATTATAGCCCATATATTTTTATGCACTATCTATGGCTTAACTATATATTATATGATCCCATTGTCTTGTTTTCTATAACATAAGACATGGTTAGCAGATACAAAGACTAAGTTCACATGGAACAGATTATGGGAACTAGATCTTTGAATACAGTATTGTTTTTCAAGATATGCATATGTTGCAAGCTAAAATATTTTAATCCTTTTATTAAAATAAAAATAATCTATATAGAGTACTTACAAATCAATGAACTAACAATCTGTTTTTAAAACAAATGTAGAATAATTAAACTGGCAAGATATATTCTTAAGAATGTTAGCTTTTAGTACTACTGCAACATTGAAAGTTTAGCTTTAAATTTTTAATTTGCACTGTTACTATTTGAAAAAAAGCTTAAAACAGTTGAACTAACAGATTTTGTGAGAATAACCTTTAACCAACTGGTATATTATTACAGGAAGTTTAATTATCAAATAGTCTACTAAACCTGTTATGGTCTTCTATATAGAAATAATTAGTAATTGAGGGAATTATGAATATAAAGGATAATTAACAGGAGATAAAGGGACAGATAAAGGAAGGTTTAAAGATTTTAACTAAGAGGTTTCATCCTTTTATTAACCAATTAAATTAAAAATATAGCCAAAATAATAGCCAAAATTACTTTTACACAATAAGTTAGAATGAGATAAATTATATGTAAGTGTGTGCAATCTTTTATTAATAAGAACAATACAAGAAAGTGAGGTATTACTGAAAGGGGTTCACATAAGGTTGAAAATGAAATTTCCTTGTGGAGTATAGCCCTCTCATATCAAAGCTAGCTTCTTTTTACTTAGTTAAGTACTATCCTAGCTTCCCCACAAAAAGTGTGCCAACGTTGTATTATAAAATTATTCAAGCCTTTCTTTTAGATACATCACCTGGAAAAAACCTAATTACTACTATAAAACTACCCTAAAATTACCAGCTATAGGGACAATATGGCCCATTTCCTTTTTCCCCCTTATATTTTAAAATCTGACCTGTATATTCCACATCAATTACTAAAATGTTTATCTAATTACTAAATACTACCTTCTTGAAAACATCAAATAAATTGGATCAGTTTTTAGAAGAGTTGTATATGATATATCACAACCTTAAGTAAACCCTTTCTATTAGAACAAATTTCAATCAGTGATCTAATTTACCAACAGCAAAATTAGTATTTCATCAGAGTAAATGACAGCCACAATTAGTGCTGAGGCTGATACCGTAAATGTAGCACAAGTTCTAAATCAAGACAGAAATATTTTACAGAATGCAATCTGTCATGTGATAGTTAAGCGATAATTGTTCATTACATAAATTAAAACTGTAAATAAGGAGTCCTTGATGCTCCACTGTTCAACCCTGAGCTACATATATTTTCTTCTATTGAAACTATAAAGTCCAGACATGTACATATGTACTGTATCACAAAGATTTCAAAAATGAATTTGACTAGTATGGTAGTAGCTTATTCAACTGCTATAAAATAATTCCCAATCAATAAAACAGAATTGGCTGTCCAATATTATGCACTTTTATTTGTGAAATATGCTATAATTTTAAAAGTAATCCAAAACAGCCAAAGTTTTCAATACGCATGGGAAAAAAACTCTTCTGTGAATTGAAGATTTGTGTCTCATTTTTTAAATCAAAAGTTTTGCTCTTTGGACAAAGCCTTTTATAATGGAAGCAATACCCCACACATATATCCAATAGATGGATAGATGGATGGACGGATAGATGGATAGACAGATAGATATTACTGCTTTATGATATATACAAGCATTTCAGCTCAGTACAGGTACTTTCAACAGCACCACTTGCTATAATATCCTTTTCATAATATCATGAAACAAAGCTGATAATCCTCTCAGTACTTTATGTCAAACGAATTCAAGAAACTGAAGATAGGGAGAAAACTCAAGAATGGAACTGTTCTTGCATACACATTTCTTGTCCTAAATTAAATATATACAGTATATCACTTAGGTTAAGTACTCAGTTTCTCAATTTATTCCAGTTAATCCACCTTCCACTGTTTATACCACAAGAACACTTCATTATGCTTTATTTGTCATCAGGGATTTCCCTATAAAAGGCTACTTACATTACATCTATGGAACAAACCTAGCTATTTACACATACAAAAAGAAAACACTAACTTTACTGCCTTTTTCTATTCTTTTTTAAAAAGAAGCCTATAACTTCTTCTTTCCTCTACTAATGATTCTTTAAGGACAGCCGTTCCATTAAAAGGTCCTTACCTGCCTATATTTTCAAAGCGGTCCCTTAAGTTGTTGAAAACATTTTGAACAACTTCCAGAACTATAAGGTAACTAACATTCTGAGGCTGGGTTTCAAGGTATGGGGGTGACTTTCAATGTTTACGGTCTGCAATTAAAATGGAGGCAAAGGCCAGGCGAACCGTGCCTGGCTTTAGGGAAAGAGACAATAACCCCAAACAGAACCGGCATGGCTTTTAGAGAGACAGAAAGAGAAAGCAGAAAGTGGGAAAACATACATGTTTCATCAACATTATTACCTCATTCCCCTTTTTTTTTCTTTTCTCCCAAGCAGTTTGGTGTCACTCTATCCTCTCCCCTTCTCTGTCTTGAGTAAACTCTTGGTCCAACTTGCACAGATGCTTAATTTTTAAAAAGTTTTTTTATATATATAAATTAAATATCTCTTTTATCAGCCCAGCCAGGCCAGGGTGGTTGGTCCTCTTTGGCGAAGTGGCGCTGCTGTGAAAATGCCCCCTTGTCTCCCTCCTCTCCACTCCCTCCAGCTGGGTGTTGACGCAGCAGAAATTACCAGCTGGAAAATTCCCCTTTTGGAGGTGGGGGGGAGGGGGAGGGGAGCAGCAGGAGGGGGTTAACCCCCTGCCAGTCAGTCTCTGCCGGCCCTCAGCCCTCCCACCCCTTCAGCCCCCCAGCCCCAAATAAGGCAAGCGCGTCCAGGGGCGAAAGGAGAGCAGAGGCGCCCCCCTGCCCCATTTGAAGGAAGGGGGGGAAATCATCTCCTCTCTCATCTCCCCCCCTCCCCACTAACCTTCAGGATATTCAAGGTGGCTTCTCTCCCCCACATCAACCTCAGGGGGTGAATAATTGGGGGTGTATCTGCTCTCTCTCTCTCTCACCCCTCCCATCTTCCTTCAGAACAGCCAGCAAGGTGGCCTCTCCCCACACTTCAGCCTCAGGGGCATTGGGGGAAGGCTCCTCTTTCACCCCCCCCAAACTCCTCTCAGAATAGCTGTCAAGGTGGCCTCTTTACCCACTCCCCTCCCACTTCAGGGGACGCACCTCCCTCTCTCTTTCACCCCCACCCCTCTTTAACTTTTAACTTTTGTCAAGTTTTTTTTTTTTAACTGCGAGCACACTGGCCTACAGAATTTAAAAATGAAATTCTGTTGCCTGCTCTCAAGAGAAAGTATGTATCTATCCAAACACATATACACCTGTGCTATCCACACACAGACATATATACATAGGTGGATGTATGTGTATACACACACATATATACATCTAAGTCAATTTTCAACAAAGCACTGGAAAACATTGATGCTGGTCTCAAAGTAAACGCTGTTCAGATCAACAATTTAAGATATGCAGATGATACAGTTCTGCTTGCCAGTAAGCATGAAGACCTTCAGCTCCTCATCAACAGAGTCTCAGAAATATCTGAAAAATATGCCTTGAAGCTTAACACCTCAAAAACCAAGAACATGGTCGTCAGCAAACACCCATTAATCTACCAGGTGATAAGCCGCCTGGGAAGGCCAAGGGAAATAACCAAAGTCATTAAAAAGTGAAAGTTAGAATATTTTGGACATGTGATGCAACACCTGGAAAAATACAGCATCCTTCACTTAATCCTCCAGGGAAAGATTGAAGGCAAAGGAGGTCCAAGGCAGAAGAAAATATCATGGCTTCAAAATCTAAGGGACCGGTTTGCACAAAACTCATCAGCACTTTTTCATGCGGCTGTTGACAAAAATAGAATCGCCAACATGATCGCCAACATCCAATGACGGATATGGCACAAGAAGAATACATACACACACACACATATATATACACATACACACACAATTATATATACACATATTTATTTATTTTTATTTATTTATTTGCAAATATTTATATGCCGCCCTTCTACAAAGGACTCAGGGCGGCGAACACAAGTTAAAAACATACAATAATAAAAGAAATCCCAATTAAACCAGTTAAAACAGGGACAAATAAATAATAAATAACAAATAATATACACACACACACATATACATACATATGCACACATACACATATATACCCATTTTATTTACATATATTATATATATATATGCATATTCTTTCTAGCCAGGCTAGAAAGAATATGCACATAAAAGCCTACGAAAAAGAAAAAGACATATATATATATATATGTATGTATGTATGTATGTATGTATATTTGAATTTATATACCGCCCTTCTCCCGTGGGACTCAGGGCCGTGAACAGGGCGGTGTGTGTATGTATATGTATGTACATACACACACACACACAATTATACATACACATATATACACACAATTATACATACACATATACACACATATACATACACATATATACACAAAAACATACACATATACACAATACATATATACACATATACATACATATACACATACACATATATACACAAATACACACACATATACATATACACATATGTACACATATACATATACACATATATACAGATACACATATATACATACACATATATACATATATACACATATACATACATATACACATACACATATATACACAAATACACACACACACATATATACACATACACATATACACACATACATATATACACATATACATATGTACACATATACATATACACATATATACACATATAAACATACACATATACACACATACATATATACACATATACATACATATACACATACACATATATACATATACACACACATACATACATATATACACATATACATACACACACAATTATACATACACTATACACACATACACACACATATACACATACATACATACATATATACACATATATACACACACACACACACACACTCAGCCAACCAAGCAACCAATCTCTGTCCATTTTGAAGAACTGAGCGGAAAGAGGGAAGTTGGGCGCTCAGGAGTTCGATGCCAGAGGGCAGAAAAGTGTCCTGGAGACCCCGAAGCCTCCAGCCAGCCGCCCACCGCTTACCTGGGCGTTACCCCCTTCAGTGGGGCTTCCTTCCGAGTAGAGGCCTCCTTCTCCCTCAGGCGAAGCAACCTGCCGGACGCCTCAGAGGCCGCCGCTGCTTTAGGCCTGGCGCGAGGCCCAACTCCCCCCCCTCAGCCAGGGAAGAAGCCCCCTCCTCTCCCCTCCCCCACAGCTCACGCCACGCCACGCCGCCTCGCCTCGTGCGCGAGCCGCACCTTCACGCCTCTCCTCCGGCCGCTCATTAGGTGCGGCCCCCGCCACTCCACCGTCCCGCCCTGCTATTGGAGGAGGTCTCGCGTTCGGCGCCCGCCTCCCTTTTGGAGCCGTCCAAGTCTGATCACAGCTTGGGGGGGGAGGGGGCAGGCGAAATAATCCTTACTCGAACCGACTGCGTTGGCCTCCCTTGGGAGAAATATTTTTTTATTATTATTATTTACCTGGATTTATTGTAGTAAGGATGCTCGACTAATCCTTAACCCATTACTCTGCCTTCCCCCGAACCTCTCTTTAATGGTACGGTCCATTCATGAGAGGAAGGAAAGTTGCAGAAGCGTGCCCGGGGAGTGCGGCCGTTGTTCCAAAGAGGCGCTTTTTTTTTCGCGGTGGCTGTTCTGAGCATGCGCAGAGTTTCGATTTGAGGGGGTGGGTGGGAAATGAAGTCTATTGCTTGAGTTCGTCTTGTTGAGGGAAGTTGGGTTGTTTGATGTGTCCAAGACTGGTGACACTGTTATTCTTCTACAGAAGCAACAGCTTAAACCACTTTTTATTCTGCAAACGCTCAAGACTATACAAAAAAAATGTAGCTCCAGGTTGAACTGTGGGGTACTTGGTCCTCTGTATGCCTGGTTTTTAATTTAATTTAATTTAATTTAATTTAATTTAATTTAATTTAATTTAATTTAATTATTTAATTTAATTATTTAATTTAATTTAATTTAATTTAATTTAATTTAATTTAATTTAATTTAATTTAATTTAATTTAATTTAATTTAATTTAATTTAATTTATTTGCTTGCAGACGGTTCATTTTACCGACTAGATAATACCGGGCAGTCATCAAGCTACCATAGGTTTTATAAGACGATCATTTGCAGCCTTCTTCGCTGTCCCTGTGGTCTGGTTTGCAAGGCATGTCTTTGGCTTCTGCAAATAATTAAATTGTAACGTCGTAACATGTGCACTGATTATGTTGCCTAGTTGGGTAGTGAAAGGTCTGCAGGAAACAACCATGCTCAGAGAGCACAAGGACCCCACAGATTTGTTCACATTTGTTTTGCTTTTTTTTTTAATTATCCACTTTCAGCATTTAGGGTAGGCATCACTCAAATTCTGTTCCAATCAATGAGCAGAAACTGAAGCAACCTCTCCACATGGTACAACGTTTAATCTTTGACTATATGCAAATATCTAGGGATTTAAAATAAAAAAACAAACAATAAATACGGCAGGTGGACATTCAGATTTGTAAATGTACTAGGCTGTCTCTATACTTTGTATTGTTCATTTAGGTTTTCATTGCCAGTTTGAACAGGGATCCCCACCTTTTGCAACAAACAAGCCACAATCGTGGCTTGTTTGCTTTTGGCTCAGGGTGTAAAGCTCAGGCAGTTGTAAATTAAAGAATAAAATGTGGATAAATGAGCCATGACTTAGTGCAATCAATGAACCCAGGTTTAATATTTCTAGAGAATCTTTTATGTATCTCCGTGGGTGAGTGCATTATGGGCTAAATGAACCAGGTTGTGTGGAATTTGTTAAAATATTTAATGGTTTCTCAATGCTACAAGAAACCAAGGCAGACCTCTCTCTCTCTCTGTCAAAAAAGTTAAGATGGTGGCCATGACTGTGCAATTCTCTTTTTTTACTGTCTTTGTGCATACTTAAAGGGGCAGTGCTTCAATTTCATTTCACATACCTAGGAATGCGTGTTACACCCAGCAGAGGGTTTCAAAAATTTTTACTACCGGTTCTATGGGTATGACTTGGTGGGCGTGGCATAGCTTGGTGGGCGGGCATAGCTTGGTGGGCGTGGCAGGGGAGGGATACTGTAAAATCTCCATTACCACCCCACTCCAGGGGAAGGATACTGTAAAATGTCCATTCCCATCCTAATCCAGGGGAAGGTTACTGCAAAATCCCCATTTCTTCCCGATAAGCTGGACCTTGGGAGGCAACTCCAACTTCACTCCCAACACTTTTTAAACCAGTGACAAAGAAGTCACATCCAGAAACTGAAGGGCCCCCTCCCAGGAGAGGGGTGGTGGTGATGCAACAGATATATATTGCTTAACGCATTGTAAGCCGCCCTGAGTCTCCGGAGAAGGGCGGCATATAAATCAAATTTAAAAAAAAAATATGATGCAAAGAAAAAAAATGTAGGGACAAATATTTGATGCCATTCCATATGTGGCACCAATAAGGCATTTTACCTTGCTATGGATGCCATTGCAGAGAAATAACTTATCTTACTGAAAGTCGCCCAAGTTGAAGAATCAATTATCCTAGAGTAATTTAATTTCTTAGGCCAGGCTGATTATGAATCTGAATTACTCGACTGCCAAGTATATGACTGTGTAAGCAGAAACGCTGACAGCAAACTCAAATAACAAAAACTGGCAACCAATGTGCAAAGCCAGATTGCAAAAACTCAGGCAATCTTTAAATAGCAACAAAGACATTAAAAAGAAAATACTCTGACATGTCTGCCATTTAGTCATCTGGATTCTTGCAACTCAGATCTGGTAGCCCCAAAAAAGAAGATTGTGTCTGAAGAATGCTTTGTATCTCAAAGCATTCTCCCTGCATGTAGGCTTCTTCCCTAGGTGAAGCAGGATGCTTTCCATGGTGGGAGTTGAGGAGCTGACTGCAATTTTTTCTTTTTTTTTCCATGATGTGAAAGGAGGCATTTGCTGAGCAAAACACTCTGGGGAATTGACTCTAAATTAACTTTGACAAGTCAAGAGGTAGAAGGAGGAGAGGTGGGTGATGGGTGGGAGTTCAGGGAAGGAAATGCATGGCCTCCCTGATGCTCTCTAGATAGGCACTTCTCTTTTGCTTAAGCCCAAAATGTGGAAGTTTAAAAATAGATTTTTTTAAAAAAAAACAACTTATTTTTTTAAAAAATAAAAATGTATTTTTAATAAGACGCAGATGCAGTCAGGATGATAGGGGTGGGGGTATCTGATTGAAAGCTGCAGCTGTCAAGCATCTTTTGCATCCAGTTAAGCACAGGTTTATCCTCGAGTTACAACCGTTCGTTTAGTGACCCTTCAAAAGGCCACTGAATAAAGTGACTTGGGACCACTTCTCACACTTATGACCCTTGCAGCATCCCCAGGGTCACGTGATCAAAATTCAGATGCTTGGCAACTGACTCCTATTTATGATGGTTGCAGAGTCCCGGGGTTATGTCATTCCCTTTTGCGGCCTTCTGACAAACAAAATTTATGGGGATGCCCGATTCAGTTAACAACGGGGGTACTAACTTAACAACTGCAGCGATTCACTTAACAAGTGTGGCCAGAAAGGTCGTAAAACGGGGTAAAACTCACTTAACACCTGTCTCATTTAGCAACAGAAATTATGGGCTCCATTGTGGTCGTATGTCGAAGACTACCTATATCCAGGAAATTACTTTCCTCGGCAATTTTCCCAGCCTTCCGCTGTTTAGAGGTAGTCCTTGACTTATGTTCGCAATTGCTACTGGAGGTTCTGTCACTAAGTGATGTGTTTGTTAAGTGAGTTGCACCCAAATTCATACCCTTTTTTCCCCCAGAGTTGTTAAGGAAATTACTGCAGTCATTAAACAACGTGAGTTTTAATTGGGCCAAATTTATATATCTTTTAATTGTTTTTTAATATTTGTCCTGCATGTTTTTTAATTTTGGCTGTACACCGCCCTGAGTCCTCAGGGAGAAGGGCGGTATAGAAATTTAATAATTAATAAATAAATAAACAAACAAACCAACCAACCAACCAACCAACCAACCAACCAACCAGTGGTGGGTTTCAAAAATTTTTACTATCGGTTCTGTGCGTGTGGCTTGGTGAGCGTGGCATGGCTTGGTGGGCATGGCTTGGTGGGCGTGGCAGGGGAAGATTTACTGCAAAATCCCCATTTCCTCCCAATCAGCTGGGACTCGGGAGGCAGAGAATAGATGGGGGCGGGGCCAGTCAGAATTTTTACTACCGTTTCTCCGAACTACTCAAAATTTCCGCTACCGGTTCTCCAGAACTGGTCAGAACCTGCTGAAACCCACCTCTGCATGAAACGAATCTGGTTTCCCACATTAACTTTGCTTTGGAAGATCTCAAACGGCGAGCGTGCGATCCCAGGGACGTTGCAACCATCGTAAGGTAGGCAGCTACCCTCTGTGTTGTGGGAGGCATGGGACTTGTAGTCCAACAGGGCGGGAATGGTTAAAGGTTGAGGAAATTGATTTAGAGCAGGATTTCTCAACCTCGGCAAAATTAAGAGGTCTGGACTTCCAGAATTCTCCAGCCAGCATGGAGAAGTTAGTCCGTGTGATTCACTTAACAGCTGCCTCGATTTGTTTAACAAGGTTGTAAACCGCTGGTGACCTTTTACTGCTGCACCATAGAGAGTACTTACTGCACCTGTGTATGGTTTGCCAATGGCACAGTGGCAGATAGGACAGCTCTCCAGAGGGTCAACGTCATTGCCCAGAGGATCATTGGCTGCCCTCTCTCCTCCTTGGAAGAGCTTTATAGCTCCCACTGCCTTAAGAAAGTTCAAAACATCCTTAAAGATCCATCTCATCCTGGGCACCCTCCTTTTTTTTTTTGAACTATTACCATCTGGCAGACGGTACAGGACAATAAACACAAGGACAAATAGGCTGAAAAACAGCTTCTATCCCAGGGCAGTAACTATATTGAATTCTACTGTACAGTGCAATATCAATGCCATATCAGGGATTTTCAAACCAATTGCATAGAATGTGAAGGAGGTGTGTTTGTGTTTTATTTTTTATAGTTATAATGTACACTGAAGATGGCATTTAATTTCGTCGTGCGAGGTGCACTGGCTCCCGGTGGTCTTCCGGGTGCGCTTCAAGGTGTTGGTTACCACCTTTAAAGCGCTCCATGGCATAGGACCTAGCTATCTTCGAGACCGCCTGCTGCTACCGACGACCTCCCATCGACCCGTGCGCTCCCACAGAGAGGGCCTCCTCAGGGTGCCATCAGCCAAACAATGTAGGCTGGTGACCCCCAGGGGGAGAGCCTTCTCTGTGGGGGCACCTACCCTCTGGAATCAATTGCCCCCAGAGATAAGGAGAATCCAAGACCTTGGTGCCTTCCGTCCCGCCCTTAAAACCCACTTTTTCCAGCAAGAACAAATTTTTAAATGTTTTAATTGGTTTGTGATTTTTAATTTTTGGGCCAAATTTATATATATATTAATTGTTTTTTAATATTTGTATTTTATGTTCTTAATTCTGGTTGTACACCGCCCTGAGTCCTCAGGGAGAAGGGCGGTATATAAATTGGAAAATAAATAAATAAAGTAAACTCAACTAAACTAAAATGGGGCCAAATTCACTTAACCGATGTCTCGCTTAGCAACAGAACCTTTGGCCTCAATTGTGATCGTAAGTCGAGGACTACCTGTCATTTCCCCCCCCCCCCCACCCCCATGTTGACATCTGTCAGCTTCCAATAGCATCCCTTCTTTGATTCTTTAGGCATGAAAAAAGCCAAGACTTCAAGCTGCTCTCGCAAGACCGATCTCAGGCAAGAAAAATGCTCACTGAGGAGCCTCCTTGGCCAAACAGTTTAGCAAAGAAATCTCGGTTGCTTTGATTGGACGAATCACATTTTTAAACGTCCAGACTTCTCAGGGTAGGGGCTTTCCTGCATTCAGGCAACCTGCTGGGCTCCTTCTTCCGCTCGGGCAGCCCAGTTTTAGGCAGGACTGGGCAGCTGCAAAGGCACCGATGGGAAAATCCCAGCTGTGGTTTCTCCACATCTGGAATCTGACCATCTACTACGTAATAGGGATTGGCAATAAGCACTCGTGAAGGGCCTCATCCAGACACGGGAAGACATATAAATGACCCAATGGTGAAATGTAAAATTTGTTACTACCGGTTCTGTGGGCGTGGCTTGGTAGGGGGGGTGTAATGTGACTGGGTGGGCGTGGCCAGCTTTTTTTTAAAAAATGCTTTTAAAAGCATTTTTTTCTACAAACTCTTCGGCCGAAGAAGTTGTAAAAAAACATGCTTTTAAAAGCCTCTGACGATCAGGCAACTCAGCTGGGATCGTCAGAGCCTTTTAAAAGCATTTTTTCTACAAGAGTTTGTAGAAAAAATGCTTTTAAAAGGCTCTGACGATCCCAGCTGAGCCGCGCGATCGTCAGAGGCTTTTTTTTTTAACTTTTAAAAGCATTTTTATGGCCGAAGAAAAAACGCTTTTAAAAGTAAAAAAAAACAGCCTCTGATGATCGCGCGGCTCAGCTGGGCATGGAGGGTGGGCAGGGATTTTTGCTACCGGTTCTCCGAACCACCCACCATCATCACTACCGGATTGTGCGATCTGGTCTGAACCGGGAGCATTTCACCCCTGAAATGACCCCACAAAAATGGTGTCAGGATTTGAATTACCATGTCATCAATGGGCTGTCCGGAATAGGATTTACCCCTCACATGGCTTTTCACTGTATAAATGGGGAAGAATATCCACCAGATGATATCATGACTGGTTATAAGATGAGGCTCGCATAGTTCAGTATCTGATTCTTTTTCACAGGGGCCCTAGACATTGGTATAACCCTTAACAATAGCACTTACGTGCAACTTTGTAATGATTCACAGCACTCTCTAAACTGTTTACAGAGTCAACATCTTGCCCCAAATCTCGGGGTCCTCATTTTACCGATCCCGGAAGGATAGAAGACTGAGTCAACCTGGAGCCGGTCAGGATCGAACTCCTGAGAGTGGGAGAGTTTGCCTGCAATACTGCATTCTAACCAGTGGTGGGTTTCAAAATTTTTTACTACCGGTTCTGTGGGTGTGTCTTGGTGGGCGTGACTTGGTGGGTGTGGTGTGGCTTGGTGGGCATGGCTTGGTGGGCGTGGCAGGGAAAGGATACTGCAAAATCTCCATTCTCTCCCCACTCCTGGGGGAAAGGTATTGCAAAATCCCCATTCCCACCCAACTCCTGGGGCCAGCCAGAGGTGGTATTTACCAGTTCTCCGAACTACTCAATTTTTCCACTACCGGTTCTCCGAACTACTCAAAATTTCCGCTACCGGTTCTCCAGAACTGGTCAGAACCTGCTGAAACCCACCTCTGATTCTAACCATTGTTCCACCATGGCAGATAGATTAGATAGACAGATAGACAGGTAGACAGGTAAGTAGGTAGGTAAGTAGGTAGGGGATAGATAGCAATAGCAATATCACTTAGACTTATATACTGCTTCACATTGCTTTACAGCCCTCTTTAAACAGTTTACAGAGTCAGCCTGTTGCCCCCAACCATCTGGGCCCTCATTTTACCAACCCTGGAAGGATGGAAGGCTGAGTCGACCTGGAGCCAGTCAGGATCGAACTCCTGACAGTGGGCAGTGTTTGCCTACAGTACTGCATTCTAACCACTGCTCCACCACAGCTCAAGGTATCTGAATATAGATTTTTTTTAACATTCTTATTTTATTGTGCCTTTTTAATCTAGGTGAATTGTTAATATATATTGCAAGTCTATGTATGAAATGCCTTATGCTGAGTAAATAAATAAACATGAGTTATGTATGTGAAAGATAAACTTTTGTAAGGACCCTAGTCACTTAAGAATTCTCCCTACACAGAAGCCCCTTCTGTTTTTCAGGATCCTGGATAAGGTTCAAAATATGATGATGATGATGATGATGATGATGATGATGATGATGATGATGATAAGGAGAGGAGGAGGAGAGGGGGAGGAAGAGGAAGAGGAAGAGGAGAAAGGAAAAGAAGAAAGGGAAGAAAAGAGGAAGAAGGGGAAGAAGGAGGAGGAGAAGGGAGGAGGAGGAGGAGGAGAAGAAGAAGAAGAAGAAGAAGAAGAGGAAGAAGAAGAAGAAGAGGAGGAGGAGGAGGACGAGGAGGAGGAGGAGGAGGAGGAGGAAGAAGCAGCAGCAGCAGCTGGCTGGGGAATTCTGGGATTTTAATTCCACACCTCTTCAAATTGCCAAGCCGGAGAAACCCTGCCCTTTGCTCATTTTGGAAGACCTCTCCTTCTCCTCCTCTTCCCAGCTCAGTCCCAGAGCCTCAGCGTACAAGTCTTCCAAAGTGGGAGCTGCGGACTTCTCCGGTCTCCCCCAAAATCCCCGGTCTTTACCGTGGGACGTGAAAGCATCTTCTCGCCTCTGACTCATTTCCTCTGCAGCTGGAGGTGGCCTACTACCCCCCCAGTCCTTTTCCTGACCTGTTCCTTTGGGTCTGGGGAGAGCGGGGGTCACCGGCCCTTTTGCACCGGAAATCTAGAACTCCCCCCCCCACCCACCCACCTCCATTTGGGATTCCTGCAAGGAGTGGGAGAGGGGAAAAGGGAGGGAAAGGAAGGGCACTGCAAGGGGAGAGCTGACATCCAGATGGGAAAAACCTGGCGGATGCTGGACAGCCTTTGGGACTGGGGCATCTGTTTCCCTTGTGGACGTCCCCGTCACGGGCTCTGAATGATGAAATTCAAGCTTGTACATGGCACCCAAACCGGAGAAGAGGAGATTTACCCCCAGAACACATCCATCAAACGGACAGCAGGAAAATCCCCGCCTGTCCCCATTATAACCCTCGCTACGACGCACTTCCTTCGGTTCGCTCGCTCGCCTTGCAGGTGGATCTGGGGATGGGGTGGGGAGGTAGCTGGTGGGGAAAAAACCTAGAATTTTGTGCACAGGAAACAGGGGAAGGATGTTGGCAAAGGGGCATTTGGGGGCCAGTTAAGACTTGAATGGGGGGGGGGGTAGTGACGATTGGAAAATGATGGGGAGGGGCTTGGGAACCCAGGCACACATAGCCCATCTTTGCTGGTTTGGAAGCTCTGTCCTTGTTCCGACAGTGTGAAAAGCAGTAGTTGCTTTAAAAGTGCCTTGGTAGTACAGTGGTCTAAAGCACCCTGTTATTAAGACCAGCTGCCTGCAATTACTGCAGGTCCGAATCTCGCCAGGCTCAAGGTTGACTCAGCCTTCCATCTTTTCTAAGGTAGGTAAATTGAGGACCCAGTTGTGGGAGCAATAAGCTGACTTTGTATAAATATACAAAAGGATGAAGGCTATTGCTTAACGCATTGTAAGCCGCCCTGAGTCTCCGGAGAAGGGCGGCATATAAATCAAATTAAAAAAAAAAAGTATTGTTTCTTCAAGTCCCAGAATTCCACCCCTTCCGCCTCCTTTTTTTCAGCTCATCTAAGATCCTGAAAAAGAGAATTGGGGGGGGGGGCTAAGCGTTAGCACCCCTTTATAATGCCTTGGTAAGACCACACTTGGAATATTGCATCATGTTTTGGTCACCACGAGATAAAAAAAAGATGTTGAGACACTTGAAAGAGTGCAGAGAAGAGCAATAAAGATGATTGGGAGAGGCTAAAACATATTTATTTATTTATTTATTTATTTATTAAATGTATTTATATGCCGCCATTCTCCCAAAGGACTCAGGGCGGCGAACACAAGTTAAGAAACAAGTACAATAAAATCATAATTTAATCCAAATAATTAATTAGTAGTAAATAATAAAGCCCGGAATCAGTCTCAGCCTATTTGTTTGAAAAGCCAAGTCTTCAAGTCCCGACGGAAGGAGCGGAGATCAGGAGCCGTCCGGAGCTCAGTAGGTAATTCATTCCAGAGGGTGGGAGCACCCACAGAGAAGGCCCTACCCCTGGGCACAGCAAGGTGACATTGGCTCGCCGTCGGAACCCTGAGGAGAGCGGCCCTATGTGAGCGAACAGGACGGTGAGAGGCAGGCAGGAGAAGGTCCTGCAAATATCCCGGACCTAAGTCATGAAGGGCCTTATAGGTGAGGACTAGCACCTTGAAGCGGACCCGGAGAACCACTGGTAACCAGTGCAGCTCACGCAGGAGGGGTGTTATATGGGAGTAACGAGGGGCTCCCATAACAACCCGTGCAGCTGCATTCTGGATCAGCTGGAGTCTCCGGGTGCATCTCAGGGGCAGGCCCATGTAGAGGGAATTGCAGTAATCCAAGCGGGAAGTAACCAGGGCATGAAGAAGAACTGAGAGAGAGCAGGAGAAAGAGGAAGAGCAGAAAGGGAGAAAGAGAAAAAGAGAAAAGTGGAGAGAGCGCAAAAGGGAGAAAAAGAGCAGGAGAGGGAAAAAGAGAGAGACAGAAAGGGAGAAAGAGAGAAAAAGAGAAAAGTGGAGAGAGAGCAAAAGGGAGAAAAAGAGCAGGAGAGGGAAAAAGAGAGAGAGAGAAAGGGAGAAAGAGAGAGAGGGAGGGAGAGAGAGAGAGAGAGAGAGAGAGTTTCTCCCATCTCTGATTTCCCAGGCCTGAAGGAAATCATTGTTCTCTCAGCTGCTGTAAGCATTTAATGAAAAAATTCCCCCAGGCACCTGTGGGGTGAAGAAAGTCAATTATGGAAGAGGACCTTTGTTTCCAGAGTCATAAAAGGGAGAAAAAGAATAAATCTCTTCTCTACGCCCACTGCAGTCCCAACACTTATCTTGGATTCCAGGCTGAATCATTTTTAAAGCGTTTGCCAATTTGGGCATAAGGATCCTTTTCATGCCAGTACGCATCAGGGGTGGGCATCCATGGCTCCTTTCTGACCTGTGGACTTCAGCTCCCATTTCATGACTAACAGAGTTGGCCCAAGCAGGAAACCCTATACCATTTCAGGCAAATGGTTGTCCAATCTCTTCTTAAAACCTCCAGTGTTGGAGCACCCACAACTTCTGGTGGCAAGTTGTTCCACTGGTTAATTGTTCTCACTGTCAGGAAATTTCTCCTTAGTTCTAAGTTGCTTCTCCCCTTGATTAGTTTCCATCCATTGCTGCTTCTCCTGCCTTCAGGTGCTTTGGAGAATACGTTGACCCTCTCTTCTTTGTGGCAGCTCCTCAAATCATGGAATATTGCTATCATGTCAGCCCTAGTCCTTCTTCTCATTAGAACAGACCAGAAGAGAATAACAGAGTTGGAAGGGACCTTGGAGGTCTTCTACTCCAACCCCCTGCTCAGGCAGGAAACTCTATACCATTTCAGACAAATGGTTGCTCAGTTTCTTCTTAAAAACCTCCAGTGTTGGAACATCCACAACTTCTGGTGTCAAGTTGTTCCACTGGTTAATTGTTCTCACTGTCAGGGAATTTCTCCTTAGTTCTAGATTTCTTCTCTCCTTGATGAGTTTCCACCCATTGCTTCTTGTCCTGCCCTCAGGTGCTTTGGAGAATAGGTTGACCCCCTCTTCTTTGTGACAGCCCCTTAAATATTGGAAGACTGCTATCGGGCCATTGCATGCCAGGAGCGGGAGGGGGGGTCATGCGTGCATGCATGGGGGCGGGGCATATAGAATTATGGGTGTGGGCATCTGCCCGCGCGACTCTCTCCCGTCCCCCCTTCTTGGCACACGATGGCAAAAAGGTTAGCCATCACTGACTTATACCATGTCAGACAAGTGACTCTCCAGTCCAGTGGTGAAATCCAAATTTTTTTACTACCGGTTCTGTGGGCGTGGCTTGGTGGGCGTGGCAGGAGAAGGACACTGCAAAATCCCCATTCCCTCCCCACTCCTGGGGGAAGGATATTGCAAAATCTCCATTCCCACCCCACTCCTGGGGCCAGCCAGAGGTGGTATTTGCCGGTTCACCGAACTGCTCAAAATTTCCGCTACCGGTTCTCCAGAACCTGTCAGAACCTGTTGGATTTCACCCCTGGTCCAGTCTCTTCTTAAAAACCTCCAGCGATGAAGCACCCACAACGTCAAAAGTCGACTCCCTCTTCCTTGTGGCAGCCCCTTTGTCTGACATGCTATATTGCCCCCTGCTTCAGCGGGATGGGGGGGGGGTTGACTAGAAGACCTCGAAGATCCCTTCTAACTCTGCTATTCTGTTCCCTTTTCCTCCTGATGGAAGTCCCCCAAAGAGTTAAATGTCCACCAACAGGATTAGCCATCACTGTGGAGGGGGACTTCTTCCATTGTTCCCAGCAGGGACCGAAAGGTCTCGGATGCAAAGGCTAAATTTGCCCGAAGCTTGAAATGAGCCGGAATGAAGGAGGCTCCCACAGAGTTATAAAAACAATCCTTTCGTTGCATCCCTTCTCTGGGCCAGCAGACTCGCAGACCCCAATTTTTCCTAAGGCATTCCCTGACCTTGAGATCAGCGGGGAGGGTCTCGGGGTCGCCGGGTCAAGAGCCGAGCTCAAGGAGAAAGCAGAATAATCGGCATTCCATCTCGTTTCCTCCTTGGCTATTTAAATCCTTTTAAGAAACCGAATTGAAACCGGGATGTCGTCTTGCACAATCGGATGGAAAGCGAGCAGTTCCATCTTTTTTTTTTGGAGGAGGAGACGGGGGGGGGGGGGGCTCTGTGGGGGTGGGGGAAACCCTGGGTTGCATTCACACAACGTGTTGAACCCGGTCAGGGAAAGTTCAGTGGAAATCTTCGCACAAGAAGCCAATTTTGCTTTGGTTTTGAAATTGTTTATTTATTTATTTGTTAGTTAGTTAGTTAGTTAGTTAGATTTATATGCTGCCCTTCTCCGGAGACTCAGGGGGGCTTACAATGCGTTAAGCAATAGCCTTCATACTTTTGTATATACCTGCTTAGTAGGGCTTTCGGCCCCCCCTAAGCGGTGTTCTTTTTTATACAAAGTCAGCTTATTGCCCCCACAATCCGGGTCCTCATTTTACCTACCTGGAAAGGATGGAAGGCTGAGTCAACCTTGAGCCTGGTGAGATTTGAACTTGCAGTAATTGCAGGCAGCTGGCAACTTAAGTGCTATTTTAACAGCACTTAGTTCACTGCGCCACCAGGCTCTTTAGACCAGTGATGGT